AAGGAGGAAGAAGAGGTTTTCCAGGGAGGTTGGGAGTCGTGGGGGTGGGGTGAGAAAGGGCCTTTCAGGAGAGGGAGCAGCATAGCATGTGTGAGGCACAGAGCAGGAAAAAGCATATAGAATGGGGGGTGTTTGAGGATATGAAGGAATGGCTTCAAAAAGCAAGGAGGGGCCAGATAATAGAAGGTCTGGCATGTCTAGCAGAGGGGTGTAAGGCTTTACTCTGTGGGTGATGAGAGCTATTAAAATGGAAAGGACGATGTTCCAGGCCTAGTTCAAGGTACTTAGCTCCTGAATCCCATCACTCTGTATGGCCAGGCTCTGCATGGTTAAGTGGTCGATGCAAGCTGAGTTGGCAATTAAGGTAGAGACCATTCTTCTGAGTAATGGCTCTGTCTGGCTATTGCGGGGGGCAGGGGTGGGGTGGGGGGTGGAGTTCCTCCTCTTTGTCTCCTCTCCAGAAGCACATCCCTGTGGCTTCCTGGTACCCAGCCCCATCCCCTGTTGCTTCTCAACAGCCCCAGCCCTAGCCCCAGTCTGGCTTCCTCCAAGGTTGGGGGAGAATCTGTGGCTAAAGGGTTAACACATCCAGAACTTGCTCTCCTGGCTGCTTCTTGGCCAAACCTCAGTCCTTGTCAAAGTTCACCTACCTCCCAGACACACATGGCCTTTGATGCCCCATTCCCACGTGTAAGGAGCTAGAGTCCCTCTCGACCTGCCAGGGACCCTGCCTGCCTCCACACCGCCTGTTGCGGTGGGCACGGTGCCTCTTCCTATTGGCACCGCATTGATTTTCCTCCACGATGGTTAGTCATCGCTGCTCCTGGTAATGCGTTTTAATGAATTGTTATTCTGTTGGATGTGGACTCAAAGGACTTTTTATCATGAAGGGCCCCATCCTGAAAACCTTAATAAGTCAGTTACTATTCAAAACAGGCCTGCTGTTGGACAGGGAGCGGGTCTCTCCTTATGTCGTTGCCAAGGGAGACTTCTTTCTTGCAGTCAGGCTGACACCTTTATTCTTATGGCCGGGCTGCCTTTCGTGACATCTAAATGAGTGAAATCTCCCCACTCAACGTTATTAAGAGAAGCAAGGGTCCTTAACTTCAGGGCTCAAAATGCTGGCCACCTGGATCAGGGTTTCTCAAGACGTCACCCACTGCATGTGCTTCAGAACCCCAGAATGCTGGTTAACATGCTGATTCTTGGCCCCGCCCCAGACCTGTGAGTGAAAGTCTTTGGAGTTCGGGCCCCAGAGTCTACATTTTTAACCATCCCAGAGGAGTCTATGAACATCAAAATTAGAAAACAACTGCCCTAAACCCCTATCATCTTAGCATCCTGTGTGTATTTCTTTCGTTCCTTTTTAAGTGTATGGACCGGATGCGCTTTCCTTTCCTGCATCCTGGCCTGGTCTGTGCTTCTTGCCCCATGCACACCTCTGCAGTTTACTGGAGAGAGCCTGGGGAGCAGGGCCACATCCAAGTCAGCTGGGGATTTTCCTCAGAGCTTTCCAAAAGTATGACTCGCACATCTGGATTACGGCCGCCATGGAATAAAGGCCCCTTGGTGCAATTGAACTCAGCATCGAGGGTGGAGTCTAGGGCTTGGAGCAGCTGCTGGGAAGAGTGAGGAGATGGATGCAGACAAAGCAAGTGGGGCTTTGTGGAAGAGACTGTGGACGTCTCAACTTCCCCAGAGAACTGGGCAGGGAGATGGCCCATGAGACAGGACGTCCAGGCTGGCCCGGGATCGGGGCCTGGGCGCTTGCCACCCTGGCCTATCTGTTATCATGTTTCCCCTGCAGTTTGTCCTTCCATTCCATTGTCATCCATGCCAGTATCCACGGCCCCAGCCAGTCAGGTTCCTCCCTCTACCCCCTGCCCGCCTCCCACTCGGTGTCCAACTCCCTCTCATCCGAGATGGTTTTACCTGGACTGGCCATCCCTGCAGGCTGCTGGGACTCCGAGGTGGATCTGGCGGCCCTCGGCTTAAGAGCCTCACCCCCCCTCAGTCCCCTC